GAATTAATGCTTCTCAGAAAATAACCAGCTGTTACTCCAGATCCTATAAACTGTTCCCATTCAGTCCTGACAGAATCAGAAGCAATGAAAGTCAATGGGCATGTGAAGAATGACAAGCTAACTGTATGCAAGCAGCTTATGTCACATCATCCCTATTTCTGTATATATGCTTTATTAAGTTTTGAGTGATATTGTTGTTCTTGAAAATTTGTGCCTAAGTTTATCACCTTTTAACTATTAAAGGCAAAATGTACCTGGTTCAATATTTAGCCTAGATAGCAAAAATTTTTGGTTTAAAAAATGTTTTGATATAAAAGCTGGGTAAAAACATATTTGATATTTGTTTTTGCTGAACATTAAAGTTGGAGGATAGAAAAACATACTTGTTACTAGGTCCTGGGTCAAGGAAGAAACAAAGAAAGAAATTAAAGACTTTCTAGAATTCAGTGAGAATGAAGACACAACATACCCAAATTTATGGGACACTTTGAAAGCAGACCTAAGAGGAAAGTTCATAGCACTAACTGCCCAAATAAAGAAACTGGAAAATAGGCACATTAGAGTATTAACAGCACACCTGAAAGCTCCAGAACAAAAAGAAAGAAGCAAAATAATACCAGAGGAGTAAATGCCAGGAAACAATCAATTGAGGGCTTAAAGCAATAAAGTAGAAACTAAGAAAACAATACAAAGAAACAATGTAACAAAGAGTTGGTTCTTTGACAAAATAAGCAAGATAGACAGACCAATATCCAAACTAACTAAAAAGGAGAGTGTGAATAAGCAAATTAACAAAATCAGAAATGAAAAGGGGGACATAACAGTGGACACTGAGGAAATCCAGAGACTCTACAGCTCATACTTTGGAAAACTGTACTCCACAAAATGGGAAAATTTAAAGGAAATCGACAATTTTCTGGATAGATATCATTTACCAAAATCAGATAAGCAAACTAAATAGACCAATAATCTCTAATGAACCAAAATAAATAAATAAATAAATAAATAAATAAAAAACAGGGCCAGATAGTTTCAGTACACAATTTTACCAGAAATTAAAAGAACAGCTAATACTAATAATCCACAGTGTTCTACAAAATAGAAGCAGAAGGGCAGAAGGGTCATTGTCAAACTCTTTTTACGAGGCTACAATTACATTGGTACCCAAGCCACACAAAGACAAAACTAGGAAAGAGAATTACAGATCAATATCCATCATGAACATTGATGCAAAAATACTCAATAAAATATTGACAAAGTGAATCCAATACCACATCAGAGAAATAATCCACCATTATCAAGTAGGCTTCATCCCAGGAATGCAGGGATGATTCAACATACAAATATCCATCTATGTAATATACCATATAAACAAACTGAAAAAGAAAAGCCATCCACTCGTCTCACTAGATGCTGAAAAAGCCCTTGATAAAATCTAACACCCCTCCCTGATAAAGGTCAGTGATAACAGGAACATGCATTAACATAATAACAGCAATATACAGTGAGCCAACTGTCAGCATCAAAATAAATGGAGAGAAACTCAACTCGATTCCCCTAAAATCAGGAACAAGACCAAGTTGGCCACCCTCTCCAAATCTTTTCAATATTGACTTGAAGTTCTAGCTAGAGCAATAAAAAAACAAAAGGAGATCAAGGAGATACAAATTGGCAAGGAGAAAGTCAAACTTTCACTATTTGCTGATGATATGACAGTTTACATAAGTGACCAGAAAAACATTACCATGGAACTCTTACAGCTGATAAACACCTTCAGAAAAGTGGCAGGGTACAAGATTAACCAAAAAAACAAACAAACAAACAAACAAAAAAACAGTAGCCCTACTAAATACTTATGATAAAGGGGCTAAGAAAGAAATCAAAGAAACATCACCCTTTACAATAGCCAGAAACTACATAAAATATCTTGGGGTGTCACTAACCAAACAAGTGAAAGGCTTGTATACCAAGAACTTTGAGTCTTTAAAGACAGAAATTAAAGAAGATAACAGAAAATGGAAAGATCCCCCATGCTCTTGGATAGGTAGGATCAACATAGTAAAAAATGGCAAGTTTGCTAAAAGCAATCTACAGATTCAATGAAATCCATGTCAAAGTGCCAGCACAATTCTTCACAGACCTTGAAAGAACAACATACAACTTTATATGGAAAAACAAAAGATGCAGGACAGCCAAAACAACATAAAGGAACTTCCGGAGGCATCACCATCCCTGACTTCAAGCTCTATTTTAGAACTATAGTCCTGAACATAGCTTGGTATTGGCACAAAAATAAAGAGGAAGACCAAAAGAATCTAATTAAAAACCTTGATTTTTAGCCCTTACACCTATGAACACCTAATTTTTGACAAAGAGATTAATATTATGCAATGAAAAAAAGAATGTATCTTCAATAAATGGTGCTGGTATAACTGGATGCGTTTGAGGAAGACTTTAGATATATCCTAATCTATTGCAATGCACAAAACTTAAGTTTAAAAAATGTATCAAAGATCTCAACATAAATTCAGGCACATTAGAAGAGAAAGTGGGAGGCACCTTTGAAGAAATTGGTACAGGAGACCCCTTTCTGAACATAATACCAGTAGCACAGACATTGAGACCAACAATTTATAAATGGGACCTCCTCTAACTGAGAAGTACTGTAAGGCAAAGGACACAGTGAACAAGACCAAAAGGCAGCCCACAGACCGGGAAAAGATCTTCACCAACCCCATCTCAGAGAGGGCTTATTTCCAAGAATATGCAAAGAACTCAAGAAGCTAGTTACCAAAACACCAAATAATCCAAACAAAAAGTGGGGTACAGTACTAAATAAAGAATTCTCAATAGAGGAATCTAAAATGGCTGAAAGACACTTAAGAAAGTACTCTACATCCTTAGCCCTCAGGGAAATGTTAAAAAAAAAAAAAAAAAAAAAAAACTCCAAGATACCATCTTACTCCTGTCAGAATGGCTAAAATAGAAAATACCAAAGTCAGTTTATGCTGGAGAGGATGTGGAGAAAGGGGAACAATCCTCCACGGCTGGTGGTGCTGGTGGGAGTGCAAACTCATACTGATTTGGAATTAAGTATGGTGGTTCCTCAGGAAAATGGGAATCAATCTACCACAAGACTCAGCAATTCCAGTCTTAGGCATATACCCCAAAGATGCTCATTCATACAACCAGGATGTCTGCTTAACTCTTTTCATAGCAGCATTATTTGTAATAACCAGAACATGGAAGCAACCTAAATGTCCCTCAACCGAAAAATGGATGGAGAAAAAAGTGGTACATTTGCACAATGGAGTACTACTCATCAGAAAAATAAAATGGAATCTTGACATTTGCAGGCAAATGTTTAGAACTAGAAGAACTATCCTGAGTGAGGTAACCCAGTCACAAAAAGACAAATATGGCTTGTACTTATCATATATGGATTTTGGACATAGAGCAAAAGATTACCAGCCAACAATCCACACTGCCAGCAAAGCTAGGAAACAAAGAGGACCCTAGGAGAGACATACATAATCCCATGAGAGGAGGAAAGGGACAAGATCTCCTGAAGAAATTGGGAGCATGTGGGGGGGGGTAAGAGGGAGTTAGGAGAAAGAAAAGGGGAGAAGAAGAGGGGAGAGGATAACATGAGTAAACATGAAGATTGAGTCAGGAGAGAATAGAGGAGATCAAGAAACAAGATACTATATTAGAGGAAGCCATTACAAGTTTAAATGAAAATTTGTCACTAGGGAAATGGTCCAGAGATCTACAAGGATGACTGCAACCAACAACCTAAGCAATAGTGAAGAGGCTACATTAAATGCGCTTCCTGAATAATATGATTGATGACTACCTAATACGCCATCCTAGAGCCTTAATCCTGATGAGGGAAGCAGAAGCAGACACCCACAGCTAAACACTGAGTCTATTCCTGGAATCCAGTTACAGAGAGGGAGGAATAATGAGCAAATGGGTAAAGAAAAGCCTGGAGAAACCCATAGAAACTACTGAACTGAACAAGGGGTAGCTCATGGACTGCAGCCTGAGAGCTGGGAAATCAGGATAGAACCAACACAAACCTCCTGAATGTGGGCATTAAGTACTAGGACTGGGTAGTCTATGTGGGCTCTAGTAGTAGATCAGTATTTATCCTTAGTATATGAATAGACTTTGGGAGCCCATTCCACATAGAGGGATACTCTACACATGGGGGAGGGTCTAGGCCCTGCTCCATATGATGTGACAGACTTTGAATATTCCCATGGATGGCCTCCCCCTCCCTGGGGAGCAGAAAAGAGATGTGATGGGGTTTGTGGGAGGACAGGGAAAGAGAGGAGGGAGAAAGATCTGGGACTGACATGTAAAACAAGCTTATTTCAAATTTAAATAAATAAAATGAACAGTGTAAAGAATATTGAACATATAACCATATAAAATTGCATAGTCATCTGTTCCTGTTTATCATTGCTGTTTTAGTTTAAGATACTGTAAATACCTTGTGGTTAGGACTAAGACAGAACTGTCCTTTGCTTACATACACACTAATACAGTTATATATGCTTTTTCAAGTCTCAAAAATTCCACATTGTTTCTTTAAATTACTTAGCTTATGCATCTGAAAAAAAAATAATGTTTAATCATTTGGTAATTAATCATGACAGCTAAAACATTAGGACACCAAAGTACATTGAATGAATTAATTTATTCACAACTTAATGTAATTGTGGCTTGCCTAAACAGAGCTGGATTCATATATGTAAAAGTAAATAACCACACAAAGAGCTTTGAAAATTTGTCTGGAGGTGATGTAATTTCTATCTAGGAAGGAGCTCTGGCTATGCTAAAGAGTAGCACTTTTCCATTGCTAAGAAGGTGAGAATACACTTCTACCTTTGCTACATTTCTTCCAGATAAAATGTATTAGCAAGAATCTCACATCTGCTGATAATAAATGCTGCTTACAAATTCTAAAGGTTACTTTCTATTGCTAAAGAAAATTATTCTTTGTTAAGAGCAAACACATATTTTAGTAATCTTTTAAAGGCAACTTTGACATCCTTATTTCTGAGACTATAGATCATGGGATTCAACATAGGCACAACAATGGTATAAAACACAGATGATAGTTTACTTTGGCCCAGAGAATTGACTGACGATGGCTGAAGATACATGAAAGCTGTAGAACCAAAGAAGACAACAACAGCCAAAATGTGGGAGCTACAGGTGCTGAAGGCCTTGGATCTTCCTCCAGCAGATTGAATGTGGACGATGCTGACAATGATGAAGATGTAAGAGCTAAGGATGGTCACAGCTGGTGTAATAATGTTAAATGCACTGAAACACAGAGCTAATACTTCATTAATAAAAGTACTAGAACAAGAGAGCTCCAGTAATGGGAAAAGATCACAGAAGTAATGGTTTATTATATTAGCCTTACAGAAAAACACTCTTAGCAGGAAGACAGTGTGAATTGTAGAGCTTAGTAAGCCCATACCATATACACCAGCTACCATTTGCAAACAGACTTGAAAGGACATGGTTACATTGTAAAGCAAAGGGTTAGAGATAGCCACATAGCGGTCATATGCCATTGCAGCCAACATGTGACATTCTGCAACAGCAAAAGCACAGAAGAAATAGAACTGAGCAATGCATTCTGGGTAGGAGATGACATTCTTCTCTGTCACAAAGTTCACCAGCATTTTGGGAGTAATGATTGTGGACTGACAGCAGTCAATAAAGGACAGACTGCTGAGTAAATAATACATGGGTGTGTGCAGCTGAGAACTAAACATAATCAAGATGATCATGCCCAGGTTTCCCACAATTGTAATCAAATAGACTCCTAGGAAGATGAGGAATAAAGGCAACTGGAGCTGTGGATTCTCTGTTAACCCAGTGAGAATGAACTTAGTCACTGTGGTTTGATTTACTTCTTGCATTATTTTTAGAAATTCTATGTGAGAAGATAATTTTACATAGAAGAAAATTTCTCATCACTCAATGAATTTTGAAACAGAATTCATATATATTCATGAATCTCAAATCATCTGCCATCTTCTTTCAATCAAAGCAATCAGAGGTTTTATAATCCTGTAAAAAGGAGTGCCAAGAAATAACTATATAGATTTAACATACCTATGACTTTTGTCATTAGAGTTATTTTTACTGGTGCTCATTTCCTACCACATGCAGACCATTCTAACATACTTAATTAGATGTGTCAAGAATTTCTCATGACCTATTTATGGCATATATATTTTGATAAAAATGTTTTACATATGGTAATATAAACACATTATCCATAAAAGATACATAGGCATAAATGCAGATTTTAAAAACTTTTTGACATGATTTTTCTTGATTTTGAGACAATCTTTTCTCATTTTGCATATCAATCTCAGTTCCCACTTCCTACCCTCCTCCTGCTCTTCCCATATTCCCCCCACCCCAACACACCCACTCCTCAGAGACAATATGGGTTCCCATGGGGAGTCAATGCATACCTCTTTGAGATATAAATAGAGATAATGATGAAGAAATTGAAATTTTTATAGTAAAAAATATAAACATTATAATTGTCTACAATTTCTTAATGGTCTTCCACAAATCGAAATATTTGACTAGGGAAACCAGACTCAAAATGGACTATAAAGCCAGCATATAAAAATATTTATCAGTATGTAAACATAATCAAGCATATAGAAAATGTAGAATTGGTTAAAGAGAGCTATTAAATGTTAGGGTAATGTCAGAAACCAGAAATCACAGGACAATGAAGATGTTATAAGAAACTCACCAACAAACTCAGTTGAACTATATTATAATTCTTAGACCCTTTTTTCTTAGACCTAACAATTGTGCATGCTTATCTCTCACAAAGGACTGCTGTTCCAATTCTGAGACAAATCTAAATCATGGGGAATAACTTCATCATAACAGGTTGCTATTGTTAACTTGTGTTCATTTGAAGCAGTTGCTTATGAGTTAACACGAGATTTCTTATTTTCCTAACTAATTTCATTTAAAGTAGACCTCATTTCTATTTCAATGTTTCCCTCTACTATAAAAATCCTCTACTATAAACATTGAAAACCATATAATGTGACAGATTGTGTTTTCCAAATTGGGAGTATTGGAAGCTTAGCACCAGATACTGCAGTAGTACAGAAGATAAACCATTAGAGTAAGAATAGGTTATGTGGCAAACTGACTAATGTTGTTATGGGAACTGGTTAGTTACCACAGGTGTGGGATCCTAAAGTGGAGCTGACTTTGGTCCTTTCTTTATATCATTCATTTAAGCTCCTTTCATCCTTCAGATTTTACCATCCTACAAAAGGACCTTTCCTTGATGTGGACTTTTGACCTCTAGCTTATCAACCTTCAAAGATAAATATAGTTCTGGTCACTATACATTACCTACTACCTTTCTGTGGTATTCTTTTACATTAAAACTATCACACCAATATACACGACTTTCTATATCTTTGAGCCTATCCATTAGGTTGTTTTACTATGTCCCTTGTCCTTTGGAAAGATGTTCCAGGATATAGTAGTCTCCATCACAAAAGCCCCATTATCTGTTTCAAAATTATGATAGAGCTAAACATGCTTGTGCACTTTGGCCATTATCATTTTACTAACTTTCCCTGTACCTGAGTTGTAGAAAGCATGCTTAATTCCATTACCTTCTTTTCAGCTCTATTTGTATCACATTAATGTTTGTATGCCTTTGTCCTTGTTGCAGAATTCCTCCATGCTTGCTTTGTATCCATTGTCTTAAGCTCCTGTTGTCATATGCCTCTTAAACAAGAATTAATCATAGGCAAAATAACAAAAATGTTTAATGGCAAAGAATTGTTTTTCTTACTTGTAAATTGAGATGCAAAAAACCACCTATATAACATACATGATTTCATAGGTTTATACTTTGTATATGTTCAACTTAATTCTGTTTTGAAACAGTGTTATATCAATAATTTTGATGATAGAAAATAAGAAATTGCTGTGGAGTTTATGAGAAATATTAGTGAGTACTTATATGCTGATAATGATTGAGTACATTGTTAGGGTATTAACTTGGACCAATATTAAAACAAATTTTAAAAGGTTAAGCATACACATCCCTGTGCCCACCAGTATAAAGACATGAAAAATAAAGATGATCTGCTCTTCAGGATTCTACCTACTAGAAGGGCACAAATATTCACACAAGACACAAGATTAAATATGGTATTTAGAAATATCGTGAGGGACCGCAGCAAAAATGATGATAGTGCTTACTCAAGGGATAGTATAGTCAAAGTCATTTTAGAGAATATTAAGAAACAAAACTATCTCTCTTTATGCACCAGTATCATATGACATTACATTCCACAGTAAGATGTTGCAATCTTCCTTTAAGCTTTACTCTTACAACCTTATCTTATTTAACGTTTTTGTTGTTGTTATTGTTGTTGTTGTTGTTGGTGGTGGTGGTGTTAAGGGTAAGATTTGTGCTTTATTCAATAATTTTAACAAAAAAATTTTTAAAAATAAAAATCAATACAGTAAAATAGCGTTAACCGTGCAAATGGGCACATGTTAAAACCAAATGAATGTATTTTTATAATTTTAAACAATTTTAATTTGAATATATTTAATCATATTCATCCCCTCATCCAAGTCCTTCCAGATCTCTCCCACTCCCTACCCACCCAACTTTTTGTTCTTTCTCAATAAACCAACAAAAACCCAACATAATGACAATCTTCCTCAAATCAAGAAAACCAAATAAAATCATGCCCTTCCAAATAATATCACCAAACCGTAACTACATTAAGCCACATACACACACACACACACACACACACACACACACACACACTCACCCTAAATAAATAAATTAAATAAATAAATAAATCTCTGTATGTTGGGCAACTACTCCTGAGCATGAAGCTTGTCTTAGAATCATTGATATAACCAGTGTCACTCTACCAGAGAAAACAACATCCTGATCTACTGACAGGATTTGGCATAGTGAGGCTAGACCTGTAATTGGCTTTTGAAACCTCAGAGCCCATCCTGAGTGAGACAGGTCCTCCAACAAGGCTACATCTCTTATAATAATGTTACAACTCCTAATCTTTCTAAATAGTCTACCAACCTGTATCCAACTATTAAAATAATGAGCTTATGGGGGTCATTCTAACTCAAATCATGACAGCTATCCAGACCCAACTGGTTAGTTCTAAAAGCATAGAAATCTGAGTATATACATATGTGTGTGTGTGTGTGTGTTTGTATGTGTGTGTATGTATGTGTGTGTATGTATGTGTGTGTATGTATGTATGTATGTATATATGACATTTATCATGTGTATAAGAATGTAACAATAATTATTGAAGATGTTGATAATTAAAGTGAAGTTGGGGGGAAAAGGGGAACATTTGTAAAGGAGAGGGGAAATTCTTGAAATGATGTAAAAATAAAGCCGTTTCATATGTGATTTTTCCAAAATAATTTTAAGTTATAACAAATATTAAAACAGTGTTATCTCAAAAACTAAGTGAGCATCCTAGAATAAAAATGGATCTTGACAGGTCAAAATCACACATATCTACTAACAACAGAATGCAGAAAAAATAATATAGTCTAACATTTTTCAAACTAAGTACTTGGATCTTGGCATACTTCTCCTTCTTCCCAGACAGCAATACATTGGATGCTTTTCTTCTTTACACTAGAAAGGAAAATAGCTTTGACCTGTGAGGAACAGATTACACATGATTACCTGTTGAGCCTATGTTCCTAAAGTTACTAAAAGCAGGATCATAAAATTATTTGTTGTTCAAGGGCTGGTTGTTACAAACATTTTTTCATGTAGGCATAGACAACATGAGATTGGTCAGGAAAAAAATACTGGGAGTTAGCTGCCTCTAGAGTATCATCACTCAACTTTCATCTCTGGGGAAATCAACAACCAGAATTAATATCTATTCCCCAGTGGTTCGCACTTGTGTAATGTAGTCCAGTGGTAGGATTCTTAGTTATTTTTAAAGAATAGATTTAACAGACATAATAAGAAGCACTAAAATATCCCTGAAAGTTTTAAGATATTCACTAAAGGTCTTTTAAAAAATAATTTCCTCAAAAGAAAATGAATAAGGAACAGGAAAAGGAAATAAAGGAATTTGAACTTTGTAATATGTACCAAAGGTGCTTAGACAGTGTGAGGGAATGCAAAAACCTTTTACGTGAAAAAATTTATGCAAAATTTTAATAAAAGTGGTTTTCTGTCCATCCAACTTATAATCTGTTAGATATTTTAAATGATATACAAAATTTGGCAAGGAAGACTAATAATAAAAAACTAGGAGGAGACTTTGGGACCCTGGTGCCAGTCAAGGCAGATTCTGTCAAGAGCTATTGGTCTCTACTAAAAAATTGATAACATCCAAGAGGAGTAAGATATATATACAAAAAAACAAAACAAAACAAAACAAAAAAAAAAAGAATGTAAGACATAAAATTATCCATGAGGAAAGAATTTCCACTCAAGATAAAGAATAAAACAATTGTCTATCTCATCACTTTAGTTCAGTTGCTCTAAAATTTTCAGTTGGGTAATCAGAAAGCTAAATATCATCATGTATGAACAATGCATTCAGAAGTATTTACTCTTTTTCTTGCCCTTCAAAATACTCATAATTTCTTGTGATTAGGGACTATCTTATAGCTCATCCTGTGTTATTTTATATAGCTTTACATATTAGAAATAATAGGGTGTAAATTTTTATATTATAAATTCATGTTTCAGTTACTTTTGACTAATACTGTGAAATTTGTTTCTTAATCTAATTAATAAAAAAGGTCAACCACATAAAATATGAAGACAACTAAATCAAATGCATTTAATCATTGGTTAACGTAAATGGGCAATCTCTAAAAAGAGCCAGGAAAA